GTGTGTGTGTGTGTGTGTGTGTGTGTGTGTGTGTGTGTGTGTGTGTGAATACGGCTGTGGCAAGTGCAGCAATGCTTTTCTGCAACAACACGGCGCCGCTTGGCCGTTATGTACTTGCGCACTTAATACTTTTATGTAATTGTTTATGTATTTTATTTATTTGTGTGGTAGTTAAGGTAACCTCCATTGTGCGCTTTGTTGTTAATGCTTTTTGTTGTGTAATAGCTGCAGTTGTTGCTCCTGTTGCTTTTCGTATAGTTGCTTGCTTGCTGTTGCTGTTGTTGTTATGTTTTGATTTGATTTTATTCGTGTGTTATAACAATAAAATATTAATTTTCGTGTAAAGTGGATATAACAATATTTGGATGTGCGAGATTTTCCTGCGCTAAACTGAGCTATGCGATGCTGCGATGGGCAGGCAGAAGGAGGGGCCACTGAAAGCATGGATATTTCACTTAACGACTTATGGTTATTGTTACGATTGCATGTGTGGAAACGAGTTCGGCGAATGAAGATGAAAAAATGCATTAAACATGATCTTCTTTATAGTTAATTTGTTGGTCAAGATTTGTTGATTCGAACGGCATTTATTTTAAAATCGTTTATTTAAAAGAACCTTAATAATAGCTTATACGGCCTGGAAAATACTGCAGTGATCTGGAAGCCTATTGTGAGGTTATAGCAAAGCTCCCTGGAAAAGGACACCTTCATCGAACACCTCATGTTTTGATCCAGACGTTTAGTAGTTCGCCTCCTTCTAACTAATGGACCCCGTGCCCTCATGTCTAAAGAAAATATGCCGATCCAGACACGCAGTGATCTATTTTATCTGCAATAAGTCCGAAGCTCCAAGAATCCTTAGTCAGTTAAGCAAAAACTTATCCTAAATGTTAATGCTAAGTGTCAAAGCGGCCGCTGTGGTGCAATGGTTTGCAGTGCGCGCTGTCATTCCGAAGGGACTGGATTCAAGCCCAGTTTTCGACCAACATCAAAAAAATATAAAAAAAAATCAATTAATTAATCATAAGATTAATCACAAGCCAAAAAAATCAATTGCAATTAATTGCAATTATTGATAAATAATCGATTAATCGACTTTTTAAAGGCACTTTTTACAGTGAGTATTAGTGACATTGCAAGTTCAAGTTACGGTGTGATTACTTTTTTTTAGCTCTAAATTCCTTTGAAATGCTGTATTTAATTAAAAAGTGAATAGAGAGTTAAAAAGTGATATGAGAGTTAAATTAAGAAATAATGTATAAATCAAGCCAGCTTTATAAAAGTCTGCTATGTGACTTGAAACGTATGGTGAGTTCGCCTGTATCAGTCTGGTCGTGTTGGTATCAAAACTTTGAATTTCTTTACGAAAGTGACTGAGGTTATACAACAATAGGTAATGATGGGTTTCGAGATGATCCCCGACCGATTCCTAGGAGAACCGAGTCACTTGGGTTAAAATTTTTGCCAGAGCGTATTCCAGTTCTATATACTATTTACAGATCTTGTTTTGAAGTTAAACTCCTTTTCGTTCATTCTCCGTTGCCTATATAAGTAATTAAAAATAAGCAAAAAGTTTGTAGCTTTCATTTTTGGTATTTATTTTATGCTCCCCTTGTCCGCTTAACCTCTGGACGATGAGTAACACAAGTCGCCGTCGCCGTCGTCATCGTCATCGTCATATTTAGCAAAGCGTTTCAACATTATGAACTTTTATTATCACCACAAATTAGTTGTAGCATGTCTTATTTACTCAGAGTTCAGTTCAAGTATGGCAGATTCCGAGTACTCACAATGACCTCTCACTTCCTTCCTTTAGCGCTCGCACTTATAGAAAGCAACCAACATACGCACGCACACAGTCATACAGTCATACAGCGAAATGTGTAACACATACTTACATACATATATTGGAAGCGAGCAGTTGGCAGTTGTTGTTGCAGGAAGTCACCGAAGTAAGTCATAAGCCAACAACAACAGACACTTGTCCTTAACACCAGAGTAAATACAAGTGAATATACGCGCAAGGATGCAGGTGTGTGTGTGTGTGTGTGTGTGTGTGTGTGTGTTAGAGCAACTACTTCAAATTTATTTAATACGAATGTCCACTTTGCTGTTTATTTTTATTTCTCTCCACATTATATTGTTCTAGCAATAAGAATAGGAATGCATACACACACACACACACACACCGCATATACAATTGCATCAAACGTCCTGAGAGGACACTCGCACACCAGTAAAGCATCGCATATCCATGTGACGACGATCAACCCTTATAGGTATTCGCTCATCCTTGCAAGTACCAGCACACGAATGCGAACATTAAGTGTGTGTGTGTGTGCGACAATGTTGAAGGGGCGTGGTTTCGTGGCAATTCTCAGCTCAGAATAAGGATAACACAAACAATGGCTACACTCTTTAGTACTTTCTATAGCTGCCGCCACTGACTGCCACCGACTGCTCCTGCCGCAGCGACAGTCGTTGGGCCTGTTTGCTGGAGCAGCCAAGCTGGCACAGTGGTGCAAATGTTTCGAGTCCTCTTTTGTGTGTTTGTTTTGTTACCATCCATATTTTTATTTATTTATTGTCAGCGTCTTTTTTGTGGGTCTCAGTGGATTTTATTCTCGTTTTGCCGATTGTGCTGCCATTTGTGGCTTTCTGCCTTGGCCGCCCCGTTCTGCTTACTCGATGCGACTTGCCTAGCTGGGCGTTTATCCTTGTTTTTTTTTTTTTGGTGTGCTGATATGTTTGGAGAGGTCGCATTATACGGGTACTTGACAATTCACATTCAAAGGATTGCGAAAGCGGCAAACGCGCCGGAAAGGAGTGCTGCGGCCTGGTTCAGTTCTAGTTGGCCGAATGTGTTGTTGCCGTTTTTCAAGTAAGCCTGTACGGGCGAGTTGGTTGGTGAATGCGATCTCAAAATTGTGAATTGTGTGCGAGTATATAAAACATGCTCATATAAGCGTATAAATATGTGATAATAATGATTAAAACTCCTTGTCAGCGTCATTTATGCAAAGGATTTTTTTCGCATTTTTATTTCGCTCCTCGTTAGTTAACCACCACTCCCGCATGTCCTCTGATGACTATGCTCACTTTGGCGTAATGACTCCGGGTGAAAGTCATATTTTTTTTAGAATGTCCAGTTTTGGGGTTGGATTTTTGTTCAAAATATATGCTGCGTTGGTTTTGCCTGCATGAATCAGTGGAAATGTATATGCTGATAAAGGAAAGAGGACAATTATTTGATAAGTAAATGCAGTTGCAAATGGAGTAAAAATATATTTAAGATTGAATGGCAATAATAAAGAGGAATGTTTGGCTATCTTAAAAGCGTGTAAATGGATTGAGATTAAAGCAGCTGTTGCGTAGGCAATAAGTATGCTGACTTCTTTGAAACAGTGAAACGATCAGAGTAAGGACACTGAGTGTCTGCCCGCAGAAGATCCTTTTTTTACCAACATTCATTTAT